CCTATGGGGCCACGGAGCGCTGTACTGGGTGGGTGAAAATGCCAAATTGGGTGTGGGAGACGCATGTGGGCGGTAGCACTGGGAGCTTCGGTGGAGCTCCCTATGGGGCCACGAAACGCTGCACTGGGTGGGTGCAAATGCCAAATTGGGCGTGGGGACGCATGCGGGCGGTCCCATTGGGGGCTTCGGTGGAGCTCCCTATGGGGCCACGAAACGCTGTACTACGTGGGTGAAAATGCCAAATTGGGTGTGGGGGACGCATGCGGGCGGTCCCACTGGGGGCTTCGGTGAAGCTCCCTATGGGGCCACGAAGCGCTGTGCTGGGTGGGTGACAATGCCAAGTTGGGTGTAGAGGGACGCATGCGGGCGGTCCCACTGGGGGCTTCGGTGGAGCTCCCTATGGGGCCACAAAGCGCTGTACTGGGCGGGCGAAAATGCCAAATTGGGTGTGGTGGGACGCATGCCGGCGGTCCCACTGGGGGCTTCGGTGGAGCTCCTATGGGGTCACGAAGCGCTGTACTGGGTGTGCGAAAATGCAAGATTGGGTGTGGGGGAAGCATGCGGGCGGTCCCACTGGAGGCTTCGGTGGAGCTCTTTATGGGGCCACGAAACGCTGTACTGGGTGGGTGAAAATGCCAAATTGGGTGTGGGGGACGCATGCGGGCGGTCCCACCGGGGGCTTCGGTGGAGCTCCCTGTGGGGCCACCAAACGCTGTGCTGGGCGGGTGAAACGCATGGAAGAAGGAGGAGGAAGGGGGAGGAGGGGGAGGAGGACAGGAGGAGGAACGCGGTGACCGTCTCTTCAAAACGAGGACCCAACACCACAGGATGGTTGGAAATTAAAAATTTCAAGGAATACTCAAAAAAAAGTGCCCCATACTATTTTCAACCATTCTCGAATATTCCTCCTGTAGAAGGACATGTCCGAGTTGTGGAATCCAAAACCCGGTGGCGAAGCGCCAGAAGGCCTTCCAGAAGCTTTTGGAAAGAGCTCTGGAAGTACCTGGAAGAGGCTTCTGAAAGAGCTTTTTGAGAGCTTCCCGGCATACGCGTTGGGAAACAACACGAGTTCAGGCAAGCCACGGCGAGGCGTCCTGCCGGAAGCCAGAAAGACCTCCGGGGCTACCCTGCGGTGCCGGCTCCTGATCTGTAGCCCTCTTAACTCTCAGAGAATGATCGGGGAACTTCACACTGTCAACAAGCTCCCGGCCATAGGGCGTGCGGGTTGGGCGGACGCTAGCGAGGGGTGACCCGCAGGGGGGGGTGACCCAAATGAGGGGTGAAGCAAAGGGCCGAAGAGGGCCCCGTCAGGGCCACTTCTGGGCCCCTGCTGGCTCCAAAAGGGGCCCTGGGAGGGCCCCTTTGGGGCCCCT